GTGAATTCTGAAGTTCAGGAGTTCATTGTGACAGCCCCAAAAACACACCCCAAAGGTTCCACATTGGTTGTCTCCGTTGGAGGTGATGAGTGTGAAGAAGATCAATATGAGGGGGAGATGGATAACATATGGGAGTTTAATAATGAAAGAAGGAAGTAAATGGAAACTGAAACCATATGTTGAAGTAAAAGAATATGTAAATGATTGGTTGCATTATTTTCAGATTAATGAAATGTTTAAAAAAGATGTATTAGAAAGAGGTTTTACCGACAAGGAATCAAAATATCAATTGGAAGTATTGAATAATGACGTAAAAATTCTGTCTAAAATGTATAAATTATTATTGGAATGGTATACAAAGGACGAGGAGGTTAAATCGGTTATGATCCATTGGGCCAAAGATTTTGGATATAATATACAATTTAAAGACTGGGTTAAATTGTGGAATGAAGGAATGAAATTTACTGTGTGTACTACAATAAAGGAAAATGTGATGAAAATGATATATAGATGGTATGTAACACCAGTAAAATTAGCAAAAACGTATAAAGTAAGTAATAAATGTTAGAAGTGTAAAGAAAAAGAAGGAACATTTTACCATATGTGGTGGGAGTGTAAAAAAGTGAAATGCTTTTGGGAAAGGATATATAATAAGTTAAAAAAGATGTTGAAATAGACATTTGTTAAGAAACCAGAAGCATTTCTACTAGGAATAATAGGAAATGAAATTAATAACAAAGAATGGAAGTTATTTTTATACACAGTAATGGCAGCAAGAATACTATTGGCCCAAAAATGGAAACAAGAAGAATTACCTATGATTGAAGAATGGAGAATGAAATTAATGGAATACGCAGAACTTGATAAATTAACAGGAAAGATCCGGAACTGACGAGACCAGAGATTCACTGAAGACTGGATTAAATTTACAGACTATATGAAAAGTATATGTGATGACCAGATAACATTTGTAAGTTTTCAGGAAGCTCTGTGAGAATGTATGGTAGAAATATTGTTTAAAAAATAAGGTAAATTAAGATATTATTGTAGTGCAATATTAAATTAAGAAATGTACAAGAAGTGATTAAGATGGAGAATTATCAGACATGTTGATGGAAGTAAAAAAAAAAGATGTTGGTGATAAATTGGATGTTTTGTTTTGTATAGTTTTATATTGGAAAACTAATAAAAATATGTATTAAAAAAAAGACACACCCCAAAGGGGCAAAACCCAGCCCCTTCCCAGGGAGACCATTCTCCCACTGAGGGGTAACAGTGAAAACTCAAGAAGGATCTTATATATTATCTACCCCACCCTATAAAAAGATAAATATTGGAACTTAACCTTCAGCTTGTCTCTGTCAGTCACTCTGTCAATTTCACGATCTTATTGCCCTTTCCCTTCCCACATGCCACAACCACATGTATTGTATGTTTCAAGTTGTACCACTGCATTTAAGCCTTCATTGTCATCTGCTGCATCCCTCACATTGCTCTCCAACTCTAAGATAACAAAAGGAAATTCTCCACTTCCATATGCATTGATCTATATTTTTTATATACAGTAGCAAGTCAGTTTCTGCTGTTAGCCCATGTAATATAGGATTTCTGAATCCTTCCCTCCCTCCCTTTAACTGGTGTACAGGAAACATCCCTGAAAATCCTGAAAATCATGTCTTCATTGGTGACACATGTACAGCTGGGGGAAATAGTGCAGGTGAGATTGAGGAAGAGTTTTGGGGGAACTAGGAAGTTCCCTTCAGTTTGCAGCTGGACTGCTTGCTTGCCTGTGACACTCGCAATTACAAGAGAACTACTCAATAACAAATGTGCATCATTATTTTGATCTTACTAGAAGTCACAGAGCTCAATGCTCTAAGGAGATAACTTTGGAACTAGTAATTATCTCAAATTGCTGGGATTTATCATTCATCTTCCCAAATCCCCTCTACACTTTTTTCAGGCCATGAACACAATCAATGTCAGATTGTGAAAGTGTATATAAAATAAATCCTGTGTCATTTAGAGCCCAGATAAGAAATTCTGAACATGCAGGTTTTCATGAATCAGATCATTGGCATTTTCCCTTTATGAAAATAATCCAGAATCATTCAGTGAGACTTCCTGTAATGCAGTTTATGGTAGATGAGATAGAAATCTGACTTTTGGCATCCCTGTTGGCTCCAAGATGGTAGGAACCTTTCTACTGCTGATCCTTCTCTTTCTGTGGCTGCAGTTGCCTCCAACTGAGAGCAAGGAACACTCTGCTAGATGCACCATGATGGAGCCTTTCCAGCTTCCATACCAGAATTATCAGAGAGGGGACCTAGTCATTGGAGGAATTGTTTCTTATTTCGGCTTTTTATTTGAAGAAATGGATTTCCATGAGCACCCCAACACAAAGCTTACAGATGAACTTTTGTAAGTAAAAAATTTTATCCTTCATAACGTAGCCTTGGTGAGCTCATGTATGCTACAATTACACCAAACATACGTTAGCATGCTCAGAACACGTTTCCCTGTCACTTTTATCAAGTAGGATGTGAAACATATATTTTCTTCTTTTGATATTGTGATCTGGTCATCTTTCTTCTTTGTTGCTTTATTCTGCTTCTTTGGGTTTCTATCTTCTGCCTGTTCTGCTTTCTCATCACCTGATCCCGTGGCTTTCACCACTTTTTCCTAACTTCATCCTCATCCTCCCTCTGTGTTTCCTTTCACACCATTAACATCTGTGTTCCTTTGCAGCAAAGCTATATCTTCATATTCACAATCACTATCATTTAATCTGACAGTCACAGATGAATGTGACATATGAATAACATAGAATTTGGATTATATTCTCTGCTATACAATGTAAACCATATTGAGTAAAAAAACCCAAGTATCGAAACTGAGTTATTTGCAGAGTAGACTCACTGAAATTAATAAACCTAATTTAGTCTGATCTATTAATCCTAATGGGCCTTCTAAGAGTATGACTAACATTGGCTACAGTATTTTTTGTACAGCCACAATTTTATTTGAAGGAGGGAAGGAGGGAAACTCAGTTACTATGAAAGAATAGAATTTGTTCCATCAGATGTGCTCTGGTCTCTACTCCCCACCTACACCAAGCACTAACTACCTGAGAGGCACCAGTCAGAATTTCTGACTTGGGAACTTCTCTTCCAGTGAGTGTCCGTTGGTTGCTGAAAGGAAATAAAGGGGTAAGAGAAAGATGTGGCAACCAGGTACCCCCTCCCAGCAGTAGCAAAATAGCTGTTTGCTTTAGCCACCTGTGAGGACCCACAATTTTAGGCACCAGTGGTACAGCTGCAAATAACAGATTTATTTACATATGTGTGTTTCAGTATATGAATGCTCTGCACAAAATTAAATGCTATTTAGATGCAATATTCTTAAAGCTGACTGAATATTGTCCATGGGGTCAACTATCAACTGTTGAGACACACAATGGATATATAGTTTGTTTGTTAGCTTATTCGTTTTATTTAATCTTTTGGGATTTGCCAGAGAGAGCCAGAAAGTTACCAATGTGCTTAAGAGGGAGAGGAAGAGAATACCTCTGACACGTAGTACAGTGGTACCTTGGGTTAAGAACTTAATTCTTTCTGTAAGTCCGTTCTTAACCTTTAACTGTTCTTAACCTGAGGTACCTGAGCTGCTGCTGCGCCGCCACCACCACATGATTTCTGTTCTTGTCCTGAAGCAAAGGTCTTAACCTGAGGTACTATTTCTGCGGTAGAGGAGTCTATGACCTGAAGCATCTGTAACCTGAGGTACCACTGTATAACTCTTTTATTAGTGATGAAGTGAAGTACTACCAGAATATTCTCTCCCTGGTGTTTGCTGTGAAAGAAATAAACGGGAACCCTAATATCGTACCGAATATGACCTTTGGGTTTCAAATCTATGATAGCTACTTAAATGCAAGGATGACTTATCAGAACACTCTGAAACTTCTGTCCATCACAGAAAGGATTGTCCCCAACTTCAAATGTGAGAAGAAAAGTAAGGTAGCTTTTATTGGGGGACTTAACTCTGACATCTCCCTCCACATTGCTACTGTCTTAAGCATCTACAAGATTCCACAGGTATAGTAAGACTGGGGGCTGTCAAGTTCTTCTGCCTCAGGTACAATAATGATCTTCTGGGTTCTCAATGCTTTCTTTTACTTTGATTCATTTCTCTGAAAAAGGAAGTGTGAGAGGAAAATATATAAATGATACAAAACATCTGGGGGAGTTTTGCACTAGTGGTTGGAGGAGAGGGGCTTTGGTGCTTGCCAGACTTTGTCTCCCCTGTGTCACTGGGAAGCAGCAGGGAGGTTGGAACTGGGCAAATACAGCAGCAGGAGTCTTCCTCCTGCTCCCAGGAAGCTGCCCAAGGCCAGCTGCAAGAGGTCAGAGAAACCCTGCTCTTCCTACGCAGTTCTGGCTAATCCACAGATTTCCCAGCTATTTTTCCTAATGTAATATATTTTTTGATTTCATTTTCACTAATGTATTCACTTTTGTGACCAGTGTCATTTTAATATAAATCTTTGGTTTTGATCAGAGAAGTCAATTGCAAAATTCAGAGAAGTACAAATGTCAGAGGATAGCTGCATTTTGGCTCACCAATTGTTTCAGGAAATGTGAATCAGGTGGGTTGTTTTTTAATTATTAAGATGTTCATTGAACTCAATTCCTCTCCTATCCCTAGTTGTGTCTCAACAGAATGGTTCCAACTAAGCAAGGGAGTTGCTTGTCCTGATTTTGTCCCCTAGCCCCGACCACTTTTGCTCAATGGTCAAGGAGTCCAGGAAGTTCTGGAGAACCACAGGTTTCCCACTCATGAACTATACCATGATTGTCATGGCCTAAAATTGGCCGCTGTTTCTTTAATATAAAAGGAACCCAGTCGGTATGAGTCAGCAGCATTCAATGAATCGGCAAAGCCTGCATGACTCATGCAAACTTTTACCTATTCATGCCTGTATATATAGAGTGGTCATTGATTGTGTTGTGGTGTGGGTTGGTAGAAAGCTGGTTGCGTTCGATATGTATAAAGCTGTCAGTTGTGGTTGGAGAAGACTTTTTAAGAATAAAAGCAGCATTTTGCAAAGTACTCTTTCTCAAAGACTCTTTGTGCCAGGACCGGGCAAAGGAGGTAAGAACGTTTTCTTTTTCAAACCTGGACAATGATGTCCAAGGACAAAAGAGCTTCTGAACTGACAATCCTTGCACAGTTCCGTTGATCTGTACTTCTTTCTTCCCAAGTAACAAAACCTGTGGGTATAGGTCCAGATCTTGCATTATTTTAGTGGTGCACATCACCACAAAGTATATGAAAATATGGTGCCTCTATTTATAAACCGTAAGCTAGAACTCTACAATTCTTGTGGGATTGATTTCTTCCTCCAGATTGCTTACTGTGTATTAGCTGAAGTGAGAAGCCCAGAGTTGCAGCCCCAGACATTCTACCGAACGGTGCCCAATGAGAAATATCAATATGAAGGGATTGTCATGCTACTTCTACATTTCCAGTGGACATGGGTAGGAATTGTGGCATCCGATGATGAAAATGGAGAGAGCTTTATGCAAACCTTAGTGCCAATGCTTTCCCGGCATGGAGTCTGTACAGCTTTCAATGAAAAACTACCAGCCATATCTCAGGGTCTAGATCATTTCAGGTTCTTTGAACTCATTCCAGCCAAGTCCACTTTCCTGGTAGCCTCAGAAATTAACATATTAGTTCTGTTTGCAGAACCTCAGACCATTGCAGTTGTGAAATGGATGCAATATTTCTTTTCATTAGCTGAAGACATTGCAGAGAAGTCTACAGGCACCGTGTGGATTTTGACAGCCCAATGGGCTTTCTCTTCAGAAACAATGCAAAGGTATTACGATATACAAGTCTTTGATGGTGCCTTGTCTTTTGCAATTCACACAGAGAAAGTCCAGGGATTTAAAGAATTCCTTCAGACCCTGAACCCCAACTCTCCAAATGGAGATGGGTTCCTCCAGGCTTTTTGGCAACAGGCATTCAACTGTTTATTTTCTGCTTCCAATGGGCACAAGGAAAATACAAAGACCTGCACTGGCCATGAGAGTCTGGAGAGCCTTCCTGGGCATATTTTTGAAATGACCATGACTGGCCAAAGTTACAGTATCTATAATGCGGTTTATGCCATTGCACATACTTTACATCAGATGCACTCATCCAGGTCGAAACGCAGAATGATGGCAGGCAGAGGTGGGCTCGATCCTCCAAAACTGCAACCTTGGCAGGTGAGATTTCCTGTTCAGAATAAACCTTTGCAAAGTTGATCAAGAAAAAGGAGAATTGTGAAAAATTAAGAATTTGTTTGAAAATACTAAGGTTTGTTTCTACCCATGACTGCCCACCCATTCTGTCCACCAACACCAACTTTTTTCTAGAACCTGCATTTGTTTCTGCACTAAAGAGGCACATATAGGGCTATTTTCAAATGTGGTTGCCTGGTCTGCTTTTTAACTCCCTTCCAGTGATGTTCATTGATTATAGTGGACCTGCAAGTTATGTTCATTTTACGTTGGTTGGGAGAAGTAAATAAACAAATGGAGATCAGGGAAAACCCACCATGAGCTTCTCTCCATTTCTTTGCCCCCTTCTCCCTGCACTCCCACCTTGCAGTTCCAGGGCTTCCTGACATGGCACCATTTTGCCTTTGCACACGGACGCCAGAGCTGAACCCTCACGCAAGTGGCAGGCCAGCTGTACTTGCTAGAAATACCTAGGTGCTCCAAATGTTGTAGACGGCACAGTTTTTGACTACTTTCCAATGTGTGAAAAATATTGATGGATACTTCTTGTTTCTAAAATCCATTAAAGCTCTCCTTTTTTAAACTTTCCCTTTGTTTTCTTCTGCCTAGCTGCACTCGTTCTTGAGGAGTATCTCCTTCAACAACAGTGCTGGTGACTTAGTGTCCTTTGATGAGAAGGGGGAATTAGCAGGTGGATTTGATATTATTAACTGGGTTACTTTTCCAAACCAAACCTTCTCCCGAGTGAAAGTAGGAAAGATAGTTCCACAAGATTCACAAAATATAGACTTCAGCATGGATGAGGGAGCCATCACATGGCACAGAGCTTTTAATCAGGTGGGACCATTGGATTTTTAAAAATGCGGTATTGTAGGAGTAAATTTTACTGACCCAAGTGAGATTTACATCTCAGAAGACAAGGGGAGGCTAAGTTACCCATTTGCTTGGAAAGATTTATTGTCTTGCGGTGCTTCTCTGAGCCTAATAATGTATGTGCTTCCTATTCTACCTTCTTTGACAACTCCCTATATTTCAAAGTCTGTTGTCTTCCCTGTCTTCTCTCCATCCTCCATCTTTATGCAGATTAAAAATTCAATATCCCTTCTCATTCACTTCCAATATTATTGGGAATAATATTTATAGAAACAACAGACTCTTCTGGAATAATGTTAATCAGCCAACTGATGTCATTTTGGTTAAAACTGTGTTGTTCACAAGGCACAAGAGAGCTACATTTTCTCCTCTTTTTATGGCTAGGTGCTGCCCCTTGCCTTGTGTAATGGTCGCTGCCAGCCAGGCTACAGCAGAAAAAAGAAGGAGGGATTGCCATTTTGTTGCTATGATTGTGCTTCGTGTCCATATGGGATGATTTCAAATCAGACAGGTAAGAAACATCATCTGCTACTATAAAAAAATTATTCCTAATATCTCTTTCAGTTTTTTCCAGTGAATCTCGTATTACTATTTTGCATTGTACAACTAACAATTGTGACCAACTCTAGCTAAGGGTACAATCAAAGCCAATGTATCTGATCACTAACTCCGGATGAAGGAGAGAGTAGATGAAAAATCCACGCACCTTAGGCCCATCAAAATTTAGAGCCTATTGCACATTAGGTATAGTGGCTGGAAATTTTACAAACAGTTGTTAATATCCACTTACCAAATTAATTAATTAATTAATTAATTACCAAATAATTAATGCAACATTTCTTGGAACTCATATATCACTCATTGTTTCAGATGTGGATTATTGTTTCCAATGCCAAGATGACCAATTTCCAAACAAGGACAGAGATCAGTGCATCCCCAAACGCCAACATTTTCTTTCCTACGCAGAACCTTTAGGGTTCGTTTTAGCTTCCTTAGCTCTGGTCTTTTCTCTGCTCACAGCTTTGATACTTGGCGTCTTCTCTAGGAATGGGGACACTCCCATTGTCAAAGCCAACAACCGGGACCTCACCTACACTCTGCTTACTTCCCTCTTGCTCTGCTTCCTCTGCTCCTTGCTGTTCATTGGCCAGCCTCACCCAGTGAGCTGCTCTTTACGACAAGCTGCTTTTGGCATCATCTTCTCCATTGCTGTGTCTTGTGTCTTGGCCAAAACCATCACGGTGGTTCTGGCTTTCATGGCTACCAAACCAGGATCCAGGATGAGGAAATGGGTGGGGAAATCTCTCACAAACTCGGTTCTTCTTGCTTGCTGCTCAGTTCAAAGCAGCATTTGTGCTGCTTGGCTCTGTACGGCTCCTCCATTCCCAGATGTGGACATGAGTTCTCTGATGGAGGAAATCATTGTGGAATGCAACGAAGGTTCTGTCGCGATGTTTTATTCTGTCCTGGGTTATCTGGGATTCCTGGCCATGGTCAGCTTCACTATGGCTTTCCTGGCCAAGAGGTTGCCGGACAGTTTCAACGAAGCCAAGTTCATCACCTTCAGCATGTTGGTGTTCTGCAGCGTTTGGCTGTCCTTTGTTCCCTCTTATCTGAGCACCAAAGGAAAGCAGATGGTGGCTGTGGAGGTCTTTTGCATCTTGGCCTCCAGCGCAGGTTTGCTGGGTTGTATCTTTCCCCCCAAATTGTACATCATTCTTCTGAGGCCCGACTTGAACAGCAAAGACCACTTAATTCTGAGGAGCAAATAGGAATCACCTTGTGTTGATGTTTTTAATTAGTGCATTGTTTGCTGGCATTAATTGAATGAAAAGCAGAAAAAGTTATTCCTTGTATTTCTGAACACTCATCCTTTTCATCTTTTTCATTCCCAGAAAAAGCCTCCAACCTACATCTGTAATCAATAAAGCTGAGACCAATTTTTTAACCCCATAAAGTTGTTCTGCCAATTTGTTATCCTGTCAATACACTGATCTTCCATTCATAGGGTGCTAAAGGTATATCCCTTCATGGGGAGACATCATCAGTGTGAAATACATAACTTCTGCCAAGGCTTTACTTTCCGTCATCATCCACCTGTGTATACACATGCATGTACACATCCACCTGGCTTCACAATGTGAAGTTGCCACATTTCCAAGTGGGACTTCAAAACAATTGAATGGCATTTATTACCTGCTGGCACTCATCTGCCTACAGATGAGACCCAGATTCTCTGAATTTATCTTCTCCATGTAGGACAGATACAAATGGGAAATTAGTAGCTGGATTGTATGTACAGTGGTACCTCTGGTTACGAACTTAATTCATTCCGGAGGTGCATTCTTAACTTGAAACTATTCTTAACCTGAGGTAGCACTTTAGCTAATGGGGCCTCCTGCTGCCGCTGCACGCGATTTCTGTTCTCATCCTGGGGCAAAGTTCTTAACCCGAGGTACTACTTCCAGGTTAGAGGAGTCTGTAACCCGAAGTGTTTGTAACCTGAGTTACCACTGTAATAAATTGGGTCTCCCATGTCCTAGTCCAACACTCACTGGCTCTCAACTGAAAATTATGGTCTGTCCATTTGGTGTTAGTTAATGTAATGCAAATTTATACTAGATTTATAGGTTATGCAAAGGGTTTTGGGTTTTTTTTTACCTCTTTGAAGAATTGGCTGCAAAGCAGTTATTCTTTTATTATATATTTTCATCTTAAGTAGTTTTCTGGGTAACCTATTTTTCTTTTTTGCTGAGTCTCTATAAACCCTTATTGCTCTCCCTACTAAGGAAGACCAGCTGAGACTTTGGCTTTGATGTGATAAACATGTCCCCCCACTCCACATCACCAAGAAGCAACAACCCAGCACAGCTGATTAACTCTCCTGTAATTATAAAAGTAATCACTATCATTCCGTTGACTCTCTGGGGAGTTCAGTAGCTGCATGAAAACTATGAATCAAGACTTGCAGATACTATTAATATCTCCTGTGATGTTCAGAGCCTGGCCTTACACCAAGGGCTCTGTCAGACTGATCACTCATTCTTTCCCCCGCAAAAATCTGGCTTTTGTAACCATCCCGGTGAGACTTTGCTGCTCAGTATCACTCAGATGACAATGTGCAAAGAGATGAATTAGCGCCTAAAAAATTCCCTGCAACATGGTAATATTTGCAATCTTGGTATTTGTGCTGCTGCCTCAGACTGTGTGCAAGTTTCCTCTTGCTCCTACAAGACTTCCGTGAAAATCGGGTCTTGCCGCGGCGAAGGTGGAGACCCTCTAAAAATCCCAGGCGGAGGAAGCCTGGGAACGTGGGATTCAGCTGACACCAGGAGCGCCTCCCCTACTCGCAGGGAAACCCTTTTTCGGGGATCCGAAGCGACGTGGGGTGAGTGGAGCGGTGTTTTGAATCAACCGCTACTTTTACGGAGTGAAGCTGCACAGCCGTTGCCGGAGAGCGCTGACTTTTTCCTGTGGACAATTGGACTCTAAACAAGTACCCGTGAGTAGAACGGAAAATTGGATTAAGAAACATTTTAATTTGGCACTGAAGCGGGAAGGCTCTAAACAGGAAGTCCGCCTCCCGTTTTTTGTAAATAGATTGAAGCAAAAACTTTGTAAGCTAAAGTCTGGAAAGTCGTATATAAAGGTCTAAATTTCCTTCAGTTATTACCACCAAAATCCCTCTTGGAAGCAGGAGAAAGGTGGGGGGGATTTTTGACTGTTTAAGCCTGCAGGAGAGAGAGTAGAGAAAGATAAATTTCCACCATCTCAAACCTGGGAACGGGGTGTCAGAGACAGAAATTTATGGGGAAGTTCATCGACTGTGAATGGAACGTCTTTTGACAGATAGTAAAAAAAAAAGAGAAACAAATTGACTCCAATGTTGCTTCTTGCATTCAAAAGAAACAAAGTATTTGAAAAATGAAAGTAATTTTCTTTTGTTGGTCCTGCTTTTAAAAGATGGATACAAATAGAAATTGTCTCCTCTAGAGGGAGCTTGTTAATTTGTTGCCGGAGTCGATCTGGGGATTTCACAGCTGTAAGATTAGGATCGTGAGACCAGACTCTGACCTTGAATAAAAATGTGTTTACAAGAAGTTTTGGTGCTTGCTTTTTGCAAGACAAGCGCTTTGCTGGAGCAGATGCATGAGAAGATGGATTTGATGACTGTTGCAGTTAAAAACTTTGGACAAACGGCGAATACCCATATACAGGGGTACCTCGCAAGATGAATGCCTCGCAAGACAAAAAACTCGCTAGACGAAAGGGTTTTTTGTTTTTTGAGCTGCTTCGTAAGACAATTTTCCCTATGGGCTTGCTTCGCAAGATGGAAACGTCTTGCAAGTTTGTTTCCTTTTTCTTAACACCGTTAATACAGTTGCGACTTGACTTCGAGGAGCAACTCATAGAACGCGGTGTGGTAGCTTTTTTGAGGTTTTTAAAAACTTTGGTGATTTTTGAAGCTTTTCCAAAACTTTTCCGACACCGTGCTTCGCAAGACGAAAAAAATCTCAAGACGACAAAACTCGCGGAACGAATTAATTTCGTCTTGCGAGGCACCACTGTAGAAACCATTCAGGAACCAGCCCAGGAACTTGTTTTGACAGGGCAAGCGCAAGTGCAGAAGATAATGGAGGAGGTTGCTGTTGAACCTCAAGTAACACAAATGGAGAGATCTGAGGCCTTGCAGGAGCATAAGCCGCTGTTCTTGAAGTTTGAATCTGGAGTGGACCGGGGGGGTCTGGAGTTGTGAGGGCTCTTAATTTTGGAAGGAGTTTGAAACATGCTTTTAAATACTTTCTGGATTACAGTGTTGACTGTGGGGAATGGGACTGTGGGGAATGGGCTGATCTGCTGAGGAGAGATGGAGATATTTTTGGATTGGAGTCCTCCCGAGACTTACCCCCCAATGAGAAAGGAAAGAAATTAAGAAAAAGATCAACAAAAGACAAAGTAAAGTGCAGGTATAAACAAGAAGAAGATCTGCAGAAGGGACATGGAAAAGACTTAAGAGCCTCGGACATAAGATCACCAGGTTGATGGACTAGATGGAATGGACAAGAAGGACTGACAAAACCCGAGACCAGGAAGAAGAGACGTTGGATGAAGATTGGAAGAAAGTTTTTAAAAAATTTATTTTGAGAATTAGTGTAAAATTAATGAGTATTAGGAAAAATGTTGGAATGAAACTATTTGGCTTTAGTAGAAATGATATAAGGAGTTATGTACATTAAGTTTTAAGTTGTAAGGTTTTTTTTATGGTAAGATAAGGTTAAATAAATTAAGGTAAATTGAAAGACAGAATATAGTGAAAGATGGAAAAGATTTGTTGAGTTAATTAAAAGGTTAGATCGTTAAGATAAATTATATAACAAAAATTGAGAAAGATGGAAAGAATTTGCTGAAACAATTAATTAAATTAGAATACAAAAAGGGAGGTGTGAGGAGGTCGATGAAACAAGTAAACGAAAGATAAAGATATGGAACACTGGATGTGTGTTTTAATGTTATTGTGTGTTTTTTGCTGTATTGTTGTATTGTTTTTTATGCTTTTCTTTTTATGTATTGTAATGTACGCTTTGTCAATTTTTTTGTTGTTTTCTTTTTCTCTTTTTTCTGTAATTCTTAAACTTTTAATAAATATCATTAAAAAAAACTCTTCGATGACATTCTGTAAGGTAGTGTGTGTGTGTGTGTGTGCGTCTGTGTATGCTTAAAAATCATATTGTATATCTGTAATGAATATGTTTCTGCATTTGACATATGATGAAGGTGATGCTCATTACACTAGTGGTCAAAATTGTGGAAAACTTTAGGAAAAGTTGTATTTCTAAGGGTTGATGGCTCATAAGAGCAGTATACCATTAGATTGAACATCTACAATATATCATTAGAAAGATAGAGTATTTGCTTTGGAAGACAACATGACCAGTCCAATGAAGTTGATGATGAAGAATCATTGCTTCAACACTGGTGATCTTTGCTTCTTCCTGTACACTGGCATTAGTTCGTGTGTTTTCCCAAGTGATGTGTAAAAATTTTCAGAGACACCCTTGAGGGACTCTTTCAAGGAGTTGGAGATGGCGTTTGTAAGTGGTCCATGTTTCACAAACATACAGTAAGGTTGGTAGTACAATAGCTTTGTAAACAAGCATTTTGCAAATGTCCCAGTCCTCAAACAGTCTACACTTCAACCAAGAGAAAGCTGCACTTACAGAGCTCAAGCGATGCTGGATTTCGGCATCAATGTTGGCCCTTGTGGAAAAGTAGGAGAAGTTATCAACACTTTCCAGCATTACACCATTGAGTTGGATTTGTGGCACTGCAGAAGGGTTGTTTTGTGCTTCTTGGTGCGGCACTTCGGTTTTTTGGATCTTGAGTGATAGGCCGAGCTTTTTGTAATCTTCTACAGAGATATTTAGCATGGTTTTGAGGTCATACAGACATACTTTCCAAAATGTTTTCACAATATTGGCCAATAGTGTATGGTGATTACTGCCACTCTTTTCCTTCTACGTAGTTCTGGTGTTTATGAGACATGGGGGCAGATCTGATATCTCAATCCCACTACTGCAGTGTGTGATAACATGTTTCTTTTTATATGGTAGGGTTATACCAGTGTTCAGCTTTATAAAAACGGTTTGGAAGGCAGCATAAAAAGTAACAATCCTATTCACTTTGTTAAGGCTTTCCACTCATTTACCATGCTGAGTGAAGGGTTTCTTATTTAATACAGTATTTGACTTTAATCAAAGCCAAGTGGTAATTCCTTCAGAGTTAGAGGTGTTTTTATTATAAGCTTTCGGTCACCAGATTTTTCTCCTCCCCCTCCTCCTCCTCCTCCTCCTCCTCCTCCTCCATAGAACAGAACTAGTAGCAATGGGGGCAGCCAAGCTGTGAGGTAAATAGAAACAATTGCCTTGGGGCAGGGAATTCGTGTGGCTGCCAT